TGATGTTTAACCTGTATGTTATTGGATAATGATATATAACCCGTAGTTTATTGGATAATGAATATAAATATATATATATATCCTGTAGGGTATTGGATAATAATGCATAACCTGTAGATTTTTGGATAACGATATATAACCTGTAGTTTATTGGATAATGATATATAATATGTAGGTTATTAGATAACGATGCATAACCTTTAAATTATTCGATAACGATATATACCCTGTACTTTATTGGATAATGATATATAACCCATAGTTTATTGGATAATGAATATATATATATATATATATCCTGTAGGGTATTGGATAATAATGCATAACCTGTAGATTTTTGGATAACGATATATAACCTGTAGTTTATTGGATAATGATATATAATATGTAGGTTATTAGATAACGATGCATAACCTTTAAATTATTCGATAACGATATATACCCTGTACTTTATTGGATAATGATATATAACCCGTAGTTTATTGGACAACGATGTATAACCTTTAGGTTGTTAGAATACGATGTATAACCTGTAGATTATTGGATAATGATGATGTATATCCTGTAGGTTACTGGATAATGATGTATAAACTGGAGATTATTGGATAATGACATATATTCTGTAGGTTATTGGATAATGATGCTTTGTCAATTTTTTTGGAATTCTGATACTTCAAGTTATTCTCCAAACAAATGATGTAATATATATATATATAATATAAATAAACGTTTCCAATTAAGACTTCAAATTATTTTCCTGTTGTCCACAAATACAAGTCTAAAATAATCTATAAAAAGGATGTCATGCTCCGTTGTTAATCTACAGAACACGTGTTTGTTTAGATATATCTGACAAGGAAATGAGATATCATAATGTATCATCTTCTTCTGGTGCATCACCTTACATATTTCCCGGAAACTTCCCTCTACCGTGTTAATAAAAACAGAATATGTATAATATTAAGATCACGACTCTGTATCCAGAATTCTTTGAACTGGTGTGAGTATTATATAAATGTAGTAAATATATGTAGTGTAAATTGAAATTTATTAAACTTCGTTTGATTTTCACACATCTACCAAGTAGCGTGTTTGTAAATATTGTATACACCTTCGTGTTCAATATACTACAGTATACATTTCTATACAGAACAAAAACACAGGAAACATTGTTTACAAACCTGAACAAGCAGCCAAGCAATGTGATTCTGTGTTATATTGGTTTCCATTCCCTCCACAACCCCCGTAAACAAATGTCTTACATTGACGGGTCTTTGGATTGTAGTAATACCTGGGGAAATAACCATAACAATGTCCTGGGTCAGGTGGAGATGTGCAGTCCCAACCTGTGAAGAAAGGAAGAATTCACTGTTACTTGAAAAGTGTATCGGTTAAGTGTAATTAACCTTGTGAAACTAAATATTTGGTATAAATACTGTTTGCTGGATCGTAGTAATGGTTGGTAAAGAAACCGTAGCAAGGTCTTGAATCAGGTGGAGACTTGCCTCTTTATCCTGACCAGTCACATTTACTACTGTATACGTTGAGTTTGATAAAACTTAGGAAGGTAATTACTTAGTATAACTGTTTCATTATACGTATTTGTACTTAAAATATCTAACCCTAGCGTCGGTTAATGTTTTTAAATTTTACAGTTAGGGTATTTTGGAACACAGTTATCTTTCAGTGTAATTCAATGATACGAAATATTTCCATGTTAGATATCTTGACAACAAGATTCCAGACTTGTACGTAGAAACTTTAAATGAGTTCCAAATAGTAATGTTTCATAAAAACCAGTGATTTGTATCGTTAGTTCAGAAACGAATCACACAGAACACGTAACAAAAGACAACCGTACCTGTGCCTATTGAGAAGCTACAAAGTGACGTCACTAGAAGAAATAACATCAATTTTCCAAACATTTTTGTTCGTTTGTTTTCAGCTGATGAAGATGAAATAACTTTCTATTCTTGCTGGGTGATGTAAAATTACTCATGCCAGAAATTTTCATAAAAGTGACCCTAAAAACGGCGCTAACTCGGTAACCCGTGGCCTGATGAAGTTTCGTAAAGAGTGCGAACGGTAGTGTGATGTAAAATTACTCATGCTAGAAATTTTCATAAAAGTGGCCCCAAAAAACGGCGCTAACTCGGTAACCCGTGGCCCGATTTTAACGAAACTTATTTTATTCTGTTTCTATTCTTTTAAATATTATTGTCATTTCATTACAAATATTACGCTATTGTGCGCCGTTTTTTGCTGTCTTTAATTACAGACAAACAAACAATCTCAGAGTTGTAGTAGTATATAGATTTACGGAAAATAAATAACAATATATTGTCACTATCTATGTATTTACAATGTACTTAAAATAGATGGCTCACCTTACAAAACTGTAAATCTGTTGTGACACATATCAATTAAATAATTTTTTTGTACTTAATTAAGAAAGGTTTAAATATGTGTGATACTGAAGTCCGAGATTCTACTTACATATACTAAATATAATATGGTGAAAAGTGAGCTTGAAATAATAAAATCACAGATCTCTGATTTGTAACTGGTCATTTTAATACATTTGATAAAGTGCAAATGGAAGGTAATTCATGTTATGGTAACAGTTTCAAAATCCACGTGAGGTAATATATCTGTTTTGAAAGATTCAATGAATAGTTACTTGATTTATAACTAAGGGTTCTTTTCAGTTTATGATTGTCAGCTAATTTTTGGTATTGTGGTGGTTTTTCTGTGTGACTATAATGTGATAAAACAAGTATATACAGCAGATATTATACGAGCCTTTCAACTGTTATGCATCAGTGACCACGTGACGACCGCCTAAGAACACAGCAGTGCAAAAGTTCGATTGAAATGCTACTGATGAAACAGAACTTTGAATTTTATTCTTAATTAGTGGCTTTCAATGACATAGAATGATGGCTGCAAAGTTTTGTGAGTTTTTATTTGTATGGTATGATTTAAACTTAAAGTGAATAATATACGGAAAGTGGTATGCTTTGTTATTTTAAGTACATTCTATATTATTAACTATTTGATGACCGCTAAGATAGGGAGAGCCTTTCTTTTTAACCATTAATGACGTATTGAGACAATGAGGCCATCATCCTTTGCTCATAGCATAAGTGTATGGGAGTGACCACATGATCATCTTTGACACAAGTTCAAGATCGTATTGGTCAACGACTTAGTTTCAATGTTTTGTGAACTTTGAATAGAAAATGCACGGATAAATGTAAATAATTCATTTAATATTTTTAGTTGTAGCAAAATTAATTAGTAGGCTTGTAATATAGGTTTGTTTGTTTGTTTTTAATTATGCACAAAGCTACACAAGGGCTATCTGTGCTCTGCCCACCACGGGCAGTCCGCAGACATTCAGTAATATAAGTAAATCTAGTCATATGACTCGTGTATTTTTAATCTTAACAACAACAGTTGTGAAGTATGTAACATATACATGTGAAATTGTTTTTGAAAAGGGGGATAACCAACATGGTGATTAGTGTTCTCCATGATATTTTAGACAATTAATATGTTATGTGTGTAATTGTTATGATATTGATTGTCAGTGTAGTAAATACTGATGAAAATGTTTATGCAAACAAAACCTTTGTTTTGACTTTGATTTAACAAGTGGCGTAATGTATATATATAGATATTGCTGCTGTTAGAAAAATCAAAACTGGACATTCATTTCAACACACAGTATTTTAAATCTTCATCTAAAATATAGCAACAATGTTCCAGAACATGTGATAATAAAAATAACAAATTTAAGTACAATGGATCTTTTCATTTTTCAAAAACATCTAGATACTTCTGTAGTTGAATCGGTTAAATTGTATATGTTGAGATTTCTTGGAAATGGGTGTGTTACAAGTTATGATAAAGTGGAGTCCCCCCCCCCCGTCAGAATGTTTGAATTGAAAATAACTATTGAATTGAAAACACTCATATATAAAGGACAACAAGTGTCTTTTGAATAAAGGACAACAAGTCCAGATTGCTTGTTAGAAGAGCAGAACAGCAGCATTTTAGTAAATATAACATACATCTTTATATTCAATATACTACAGTATACGTTTCTCGAGATGCAAAATGTTTATGCAGAACAAATACACAGGAAATAATATTTACAAACCTGAACAAGCAGCCAAGCAGTCTGCTACCGTGTTATATCGGTTTCCATTCCCGCCACAACCTCCATAAATAAATCTCTTACACTGGTAGCTGTCTGGGTCGTAGTAATAACTGGGGATATAAGCTGTACAAGGTCCTGTATCAGGTTGAGAGATGCAGTCTTTATCCTGACCTGTGGAGAAATGAAACAGTCACTGTCACTTGAAAACTGTATGCGTTAAATATAAGAAACGTTATAAAGCTAAGCCTAGCATCAATTAGGATAATTTACAATTGTTTTTCTGTATAATTCTATGAAACCAGACCAACTTCAGCCTGAACATGCAATATATTAACATATAGTCAGAAGTGACCATACATATTGACCAGAGAACAGATTTAGTCCATCAACTGAGAATGCCAAGCATGACCACTGGAAACCATTTCGTTTTTTATGTGCTGTTAATTGTTTAATTTTTTGTGGATTATTATGTCGATTTATTTTATATATAGATATGTTGACAGTTCATAGGGTTTTGAAACCTGCACTCATTGGACTTTCTAAACTTGTGTAAAACCCGAAAAAACTAGTACCCACTGCATTTGTAATGCTCTACTGGACCAGTTTTACTTGAATTTTAAAAAATGTATAGCAATAAAACACTGAGTTGAAGAGTTATTTTTTTAATTTAAGCTTAAATTCTATTTTTAATTCTAAACTTGTATGAATCAGGTTCAATAGATGAATTAGAATATTTTAATTGTCATGACAACATTAATTTACTTTAAAACTATAATAAGCTGTTATGTTGTAACGAAATTATCATCCAATTATGAAATATTAGACACGTTACAACTAAATGTTGTATTGTGTTATAGTTCTTGTTGTTATAATACAATGATGGTAAACTGATGTTGTTTATGAACGGAAGCTATATATATGATTGTTATCAACTTAAGTTACAGAGATGAGGTTGTTGATAAAACTTAGTTACTCAGAGATTGATTACTCTACTTGTACAATGTTTCGACGTCCTCTGTATCGTCTTCAGGATTTATCTGCAAGGAATTATGTAAATACAAAAGCAATGTAATATCAAGAGTAGTTACTCCAGCTCTATAACGGCAAAGGGATTTCGCTTCACAGTGATCGGCTGCTTCAGGGAGGGGGAAAAGAACCGTCAAAAATGATGATATCATAGTTCCAAAAGTTGCCACCAGATGGGGATGTCGTTAGTTACGCGTTGCTTGGCCGCCATAACAGGCAGCCATGATGCCAAAACTTGCTACCTGCATTGTATGGGATGTATTTCTAGGTTGCCATCACAGACTACCGTAATGGATGATTACGTAATAGTACCACCAAGTAGAGAATATGTTTCTAGGCAGCCATATCAGGAAGTCATGACTCATACAATATGTGTCTTATCGTGTCCATAATTAATCATTGATTCCATAGTTGGTTACTTAACTATTCATAAAAAAAGGATGCTTAAGACTGATTCTTTAGTTAATTAATTAGTGCTAAAAAGAATGCTTTACAGCAATTAATTAAATTATATATAATTAATTCATTAAATAATTAATTAAATCGTCATAGAAAGGACGATACAATAATTAAAACTTATTGTTTAAAAATTTTGTGTATTAAATTATTAGTTAATCTAGTCATTTATAATTAATTTGTCCTAAAAAGGATTATATATATTGATGAAAACTTGCTCAAACTAGTGTTTAAAGATCTTCAGTAACATGATTATACAGAATGTATGACTACACTATCCACAAAACAGAGAACATATTGTTAAGTTGCTATGACACAATGACGCACACAATACATGACTATAGATTTAAATCACCCTATAAAAGGTGATATCATATAATAATTAAAACTTATAATATAACTTTACACAACGTTTTATTTCGTGAACAAATCGTTTATTATGCAATAACATATATTACTAATTTGACTTTATACAACAAAATAATTTACACTTGTTACTTAATCTTACACAGATTTTACAAAGGCAGACTTTCATATATGTATTTACTTATTTACCATTATTTTAACAAATGTTCATAGGATTTTAACAAAGATATTGTGACAGTACTTCTACAAGTCATAAATGTCTAGATTTCACTATGTTAAAATCATTATTTTACATATTCCAACATCTGTATTAAAATAATAAATGAATGACTTACTACTTATCCGTCCATTTTCTATATAACCATTGATCACTGGTAAACACATCTCCAAATGTACATAAATCTTATGAAAATATGGAATACATTTCTAAACTGTTCATAACTTCTTTCACACAATATTTTGTTGGGCACTTAATGTTATACTTTCACAAATCATACTTATACCAATAATTAATGAATGACTTACATTTTAAATTTACCAGTATTTAAAATACCAGAACTTTCACACTATCTAACTTTAAGTCATATCAGGAAATTCCATGCATACAATCTAGACAGCGACTTTTAAAAAGTACAAAGGTCACACAGTCTGTACACCAAAATCAAGTCAAGTGTTTGTTAGTTGGCTGTCACGTGGTTACACATATAGTGTTTTTGCAATGTAAAAGTAGAGCAGAGTTTAACGAAAACATACCAGTTAGAAGAATGTGTGCAAAGCATGACAGTCCGATATGTTTGATATTCAAGGCAACTGACAAGCTTGATAGAAAAAACATAGGTTAGAATGACCAAGTCTATTTTGCAATAACTGGCTAGCTAGTCCAAGGTTCAAGTGATTAAAGTTTTTGGTAACATAAATTATACAAAACAATGTTTGTCATTTAACAAAGCATCAGTTACAGTAATCATTATATAAAATTAATAATAAACTCAACATAAGATTAATATTCACGTTACAAATCACTAAATATATTCAATTATACCATAATCATAATATAGTATCTATACACAATATATTTGATAATGAATTCTACATATGTATATTATACTTTAATTAATTTTACTGAAATTTAAAAGTCGTTTAAATGATTAATTTCTTACTCAGCATACGATTATTACATACTGTTTCCGAAAACTATCAGAGTATTTTAGTTCGCTTAGAATAAGATAAAAGTTTTATTCTACTTAAACTTGTGACTTTTATAATATATTTACGGAAAATATTTATTGAAATAAAAGTCAATTATAATACATTGTCGCTATCTATGTATTTATGGTTCACCTTACAAAACTGTAAATCTGTAGCGACTGATATCAGTTAAATACATTTTTTTTGTATTTAATTAAGAAATGTATCAATATGTGTGATACTTACATATACTAAAGCTACTATGTTAGTCTATGATGAAAAGTGAGCTTCAAATAAGAAAATCACAGAACATTTATCTGTAACTAATGATATTTATACATTTGATAAAGGAAAACAAGTGTATTTTGAATAAAGCTAAAATCCAGATTGCTTGTTAGAAGATAGTGTGGAAACTATCAACCAATAATGAACTCGATCTTGGGCTTAGTGTTAGTTGACAGAAAAATAATTCTTTCATCTTCTTCAGAACAGCAGCATTTTAGTAAATATAACATACATCTTTATATTCAATATACTACAGTATACGTTTCTCGAGATGCAAAATGTTTATGCAGAACAAATACACAGGAAATAATATTTACAAACCTGAACAAGCAGCCAAGCAGTCTGCTTCAGTTTTATATCGGTTTCCATTACCGCCACAACCTCCATAAATAAATCTCTTACACTGGCAGCTGTCTGGGTCGTAGTAATAACTGGGGATATAAGCTTTACAAGGTCCTGTATCAGGTTGAGACTTGCAGTCTTTATCTTGACCTATAAAGATATGATACACTCCATGCTACTGTATACTTTAAGTGTGATAAATCTAAGCCATCTAAACACGTCGTGTAATAACTGTTTCATATGCTCTATAATCCTAACATCAATCAATGTTTACAGTTCTTATAGTTCTAAAACACAACAGTTTTTCTGTGTAATTTTATAATATAAAACGTATACCCTAATTCCTTACATTTACTGAAGCTTGTTGTTTTATGAGTATTTCTGATTAGTTCGGAAACAACTTGCACAGAACACCTGACAAAAGACAACCATACCTGTGGCTATTGAGAAGCTACAAAGTGACGTCACTAGAAGGAACAACATCAGTTTTCCAAACATTTTTGTTCCTTTGTTTTCAGCTGATGAAGATGAAATGACTTTCTATTCTTGCTGGGTGTGTTTTATATTAAATTTATCAGTAAAGAACAATGACAGACCCGATGTTTCCGTGCAACACTTTGTTTACCAATAGAAAGTAAAATAAACAGTCATGTGACTTTAGTTTATAAAATTTAGATAGGCTGCTCGTGTGTTGTAGAAAGTATTTCATTGGCTGTTGCTGCACCCAAACTTTATACAGTTCTTTATGACACAAGTATTTTATTTCTATGTACTTTAAATAGCATTCTATTTCTTAATCCATGCTTACTTTAATACATACGTTACTTTACAATAATGTTAAGTATTTGAACTGAAACTGTATACTGTAATGTGTACAAGATAGGCCTAGTGGTTACTGTGAATCTAAAGTTCAATGGATGCGTTATAAGAGTGACAATAGAATCCCACTATTCTATCTGATAGGAACCACCCAATAGTTTGTTAGTAGCCTTCCATATAGTGTATCATTTCACAGTTATAAGAGGTTAGTCAGATAGCCCTCTAGTGGTTTTGTTCGAAATTCAAACAAAGAAACAATCTAGAAGGACTGATGCTACCTGAAGTCCACGTATACTATGCGACCACTTCAATCTCACGTTGTTTTATGACAGCAAAATTGGTCAACAATGTCTCCGTGACCTCTGACCTTGAATTCACTTAAGGACACAGAAGCTCAGAAAATCTTTTAACTTAAATTTACTCTAGGGAAGGGGGTTGTTGATTTGTTGTTCAGAATCTATCATATGTAACAAAATGGTATTGCTTTAAGCAGGTATCTTGCTCTCGTCAGAAGTTCATATTAATCTACATATTTAATGTATTTTTTATGTTCGGAAACTCCCATGTCAACATTTGTTGCAGTTTCATTTACAGAACCTTTCTCACAAGACTAGCACGGTTTAATATAAACGCTAATTAGATTATTTTAATGATGTCTGACATTTCTATGTAATTGTACAGTTATTATTTCTTCAAGAGGTTCAACTTTTGTTATAGGCAGCATAATGTGGTTGCATATTATCGTTGGTTGATTTATCTTCAGAAAACAAAGTTTTTCCTGCTCTAAGATAGATATTTGTAATGAAGAAATAATAGATGTTTTAATCTGTTTACGGTGACATAAAAAGAACTGGTTGGTTTAATAATAGATGTTTTATTCTGTTTACGGTGACATAAAAGAACTGGTTGGTTTAATAATAGATGTTTTAACCTGTTTACGGTGACATAAAAAGAACTGGTTGGTTTAATAATAGATGTTTTATTCTGTTTACGGTGACATAAAAGAACTGGTTGGTTTAATAATAGATGTTTTAATCTGTTTACGGTGACATAAAAAGAACTGGTTGGTTTGATAATAGATGTTTTAACCTGTTTACGGTGACATAAAAAGAACTGGTTGGTTTACGGTATACAGAGAGGACGGGTTCTATTTTTTCTCTCGTTATTAATGTATCCAAGAAAGGAAGGTTGTTATTTGCTAGGGGGTTTGAAGGGGAATTTTGAAAAAATCACATCTCTGGAATGGCCACACAGAAATTATATCACCATCATATCGGAACAACGGAATTTCTGTTCATACTTATGGTTACATTGTTTATTTTAGCACAAAGCTTCCCAATAAGTAATTCGGTTTCACATTATTCCATAAAAATGTTATATAATATTGAAGAAAGTGAATTTCCTAAGGTCAGTTCGTACTTTTGTGTAAAATATTTACCAAAACATTGTTTACACAGATTTCGATAAAAAGAAAAATGCCAGTGGGAACTATGTTTAGTTCTGGTAATTTTCAAGAAACTCTGTGATCTCATCACCTGCCACGCTGGTGAATAAAGCACCAACATAAAAACTTAACATGTGCTCCTTTACTTAGGTCAAGACTGCAAGTCTCCACCAGATTCAGGACGTTGCTACGCCTACATCACCAGTTATTACCACGATTCAGAAAGTCGCCAGTGTAAAAGTTTTATTTACCGAGATTGTTGTAGGAATGGAATCCGATGTAACACAATAGTTGGCTGCTTGTTCAGGTTTATAAATAATGTATCCTGTGTTGTTGTTCTGCATAAACATATTGCATCTCGAGAAATGTATACTGTATTATATAGAAAGTAAATATGTATATTGTACTTATAAACACACTTCTTGGTAGAAGTGTGAAAACAGAGCCGTAGCTAGGGTAGAGCCGGAGGTAGAGTTTCCAAGCGCTCAGCCGGAAGAGGGCGCAGTCAGAGCGCTAAACTTGTTATTAAATAATTCACGCAGAACTATACAGACTGTAGAGAAAATAGTAAAACTTACCATTTGAACTTATCATCCGAATTAAGCAATATAACTTACTCTACATACTATGGCATGGTACTTAATTTCCCGCCTTCCCTCTTTTATCTTCAACTACGTCATCTCGTTCTTAAGTTATAACATATATGATAATTATTTTATATTTTCTAGTGTTGTGGTATTTAGCTACACGCTTCTTTCATCATATCTACATGGTTTTTAAGAAAAGGAAAAATAGGGCTAGAGAAATAGCATATACAATATTCCGAGACATCCTAAAATTTTGCTGGCTGTTAAACAATACAGGAAGCCTGCTCGACAGGGTAATCGGGTTTTTACTGTATCTGTCATTGTTATAAAGTAAATTAATAATTGAATTTATAATTTTGCATCTACTAAGGCTAGGAAACTAAAATTTTAAGTTTCTTCACCAAAGAAAATGATTTGAAGCAAAGATATAGTAAATATTTTTGTTTAGTTTCAGTTAAATAGAGTTTCTCATAAGTAAAGCTGCGTTATTTGTTTGTTTTGCCTTTATTTGTGTCATGTTTTGCAAGTTTTTTGTGTGTGTGCTTCTAGTAGGAAAGCAAAGTAAAATTTTGCCCATAAATTTTGAATCAGTATATATATACACAGCGTGGTCACAAGTAAATAGACACCACTTTTTCAGACCAAATGAAATTTTTCAGTCATATTCACGTGAATTGATATATTTATAATTTAATTAATATCTAGTAGATCTTCCTTTCTTTTCGTTTGTAGTTCGTTGGTATTCTTTGGG